AAGATTCAAAATTTTTGTGAGTTATCCTCATCTAATTCACGATTATTTACAATTTACGATGAATTTATTGCGATTTTTTTTGAATATATTTTATCCTATTATCATTTTAGCAGCAACAGTTCAATTCCTGTTTGATGCTATAAATTGGTACAACAAATAAATTAGTTTGTTATAAGCGACGAATGTTGCCATGCATACATTTCTTTCGAATTATATTTTCCTATCATTTTTGCAAAGTAAGTTTTTTTTTTTCTGAAATTTAAAGTCTTAATTTAGGTTTCCTTTTTTTCTTTTTGTCAAATTTTCAATTTTGTTAAAAATTAAGCTGTCACTTTTTCATAAGTTTATATCTCATAGCGTTTTACAAATGCATACTAGAAAAGATATTTTGTAAATTTTTTTAGAGTCGTTTTAGTTACGTACGTGTAGCTACACGTTATTATTATCTCTTGATCAATGATTGAAAATTAATAATTATAATTCAGTTTATACATTTAGTTATGGAAAAGGATAGAACGAGAAAAGAGTGTTATAAAGATGACATATAATCAATTATTAGCGATTTATAACTAAAAGTAGAAATATATCTGAAAGTTATATCTGAAAGTCCTCAAATAAAGGCATAACATTTAATAATGATGTCTAAAGTAACCCTCCTCCTTCTTCCTCTTCTTCTCTCTCTCTCTCTCTCTCTCTCTTCCCTCTTTTCAGTTGTTTAATTATTGGTAAAAAAAAATCAACTCCTACTTTTAGTTTTTTGGCAAAGAGTATTAGTGGTAATAGCATTTGATGAAAGTGCTGAAATTACGACAGCTCATTTTGCCGATCCAAAACGTGGACGCATGTCGTGGATTATCGATGAGAATGCTTTACCGTGGACTGGACAGTATTATTACATTGAGTAAGTATTATTAGAAATTTTCAGGCATATTTTTTATTCATCAATAAGCCTATAACTAGGCTACTATATGAATTATACACACATTACAGGCGAGAAAAAAAGAGTTTCAAAAGACAATTTTTTATTCTTGAAATTTAATCGAGATAGTAATCATTAAAGAGAGTAATATAAAA